ATTGAGGTGTTTTGTTGTTGGATGTAATAATGAATATAGCAGTCGTCATTTACTCCCGACATCTGAGCCGCTGAAGACGCAGAGGATTAACGTTACTTTCGTTTTGAAGGGAATGCGCCGATCCCCCATCTACCTAAATGCATCTATGGTCGCGTGAATCATTCGTGATCGAGCTTCATCTACACAAGAAGTGAGTATAAGGTTTTTTATCAATCTTTGCAAATCGCCTTTCCTAATATGTGCTAGTTAGCCAGTTTCGCGGCTAAAGTAAACAGTACTGCTCATCACCCACAGAAGAGAGGGGCGGTGTGAGCAGAGCTCATTAGCATTTAAAGCAACATGGACTACAATTGCTTGCTAAAAACAGAGCACATTTTGACAGGGGAAAAAAGGTGTTTTTACACTATACCATTGAGAAATTTTAACCAAAGTATGTTATAGACTTCTCAAGACCCTAAAGAATCATGTCAACTTATATCAAATGGGCATCAGATGACCCCTTTAATAGTTAGCTATAGGCTGCTCTTTCTGTACCACCAAGAAAGCAACAAATATTTTGTTTATAATTAGCGAAATTTAATTTTGTCACTTGACTATAAATGGCTGTCATCTCAATACATTTAATGAATGTCTGTTTTCCTTAATTGTCATTTCATTTGAATATCAGCATTTGAGAGATTTAGTCAGTCGAACACTTTTACAGCTAATTTGCCTAATTGTGTTTCTCTTGAAAATAGTGATCTATGACATTGTATTAGGCCTATGTTGAATATCAAACGTTTCAGTGTCTTTTTGTTAATGAGGGATTTGTGGAAACATTGATGTTTGTAAATCTTTGAAGTAAAAAAAAAAATACTTAAAAAATGCAAGATGTGCATTTCAGACACCTTCAACATGTAGGCTACTTCGATCATTGCATTTTTATTCATAGTGTTGTTATTATGACATCTACAAAATATGTCATAAAATATATGACCTTTTAGATAAAATATTTTCAAATAAATGTACTTTTTAGAGGAATCTCTTTTATTGGGATTCTGCTTTGTCATTGGTTGTTCAATTATTCAATTAAGTTGTCAAAAAAAATGTAATGCATAGCATTAACATTAT